TTCCAGGTACTGTCTCAGCAGACTGACAAGTAACCTTGCTGCACTCAGATTCCGGCCATAACGGGGAAGGGAGAAAATTGCAGCGGTCTGGCTTCCATGGTAGGTGGGAATGCAGCGTACTCAGAAAGTAGAAGCTAAGCCAATTCCAAAGCACTGCAATGATTTTCAAATCCCAGATCTTCTGAAGAGCATCAAGTTAAAAAAACCTCCAAAACTTCAACTTCTGACATTTACCTTTTTTTTTTGATTGACCATTACTTAAGGTGTTAAAACTAATTGCAAGTAACTAGAGAAACACACCAAGTTTTATCAACATTGATCACTTACCTGAATTTAGGATTTTCCACTGTAACTACACCAACTTCTATTTCTGAAGGTTTGAAATCAATAGATAGTACAGTAGACAGGCATGTTATTGCTGTCTGAAAGATGACCAAAACAAAAATTAAACAGAAAGCACTAAAACTCTGTTTTCCCCAATAGATGTATCATTAATAGCTACCCTTCCCTCCAGTTTTATTTTCTTCCATCTCAAAACCTCTGCTGAGAAGTTTCGAATAGTTTCCCCTTCTTACAGAATACAGTCCCTTTCTAGTCCTCTCCCTAAAAAGCCCAATCTACAAAAACCAACGAGACACACCATTTTCATAGCAGAAAAAACCTCAAAAACTGCAGCAAACTCCAAACTTTTTATCATGCAAAGATTAAAACCCCAGGTTCCAAGGACAGATCAAGTTTCAGTAACAGCAAACAAGACAGACATCAGCATTACAGTCCAAAATTATTCCAAGCTTGCAGAGCTTCCATTCTGGCTGTTCTTCTGGTAATTAAAAATACACTGGCTGTTTTTAAAAGCTGCATTTCATCGTGGCTTAACTTGATTTTTTTTCCACCCTAACCATCACCTGTTTTAAATTGTGTTCTTTGCAACCTCACTCATACTTAACCCTGCAGTAGGGTCATAATAATGCTAAAGGTGTACTCCTAAAATTAAGCACAAAAAGAAGTTCCATACAACAGCTACGTAGCTAGATGCTTTATCAGTTCAGTTATTCTGACATGCTGCCACTTAATACTAATCAGTAACATGTTAGGAAGTGTAGATAATATATCAATGCCGCAATAATTCTACAAGAATATATAGATGTCTTATTAGAACGCTGACAAGTTGTAACAAAAAACCGAACCACCAAAAGGCACAAATGAAATTCTTACCCTTGGAGCATCACCTCTAAAGCACCAGAAGCTTTTTGAAAAAAGGCAGAGTGTGTGCATGTGTGTGAAGAACATTGCAAAACCATGATTTTTGTTCTTGCTTGATAGACTTGCTTTTCCCTGTCACTGCTGACTTTTTAAGTAAAAGTGTCTGACCTACATTCACAACCTTCACATTTTTACAAAGACAACAAAAAACTATAAAAGCGCACCCAGAATCTGACTGGCAAATTAATTGCCAATTAAGTATTTGCACTATACCATGCAAGTTTTATGAATTAAAAGCAAGAATATGAAAAGACTGTTTCAGCTGCCTCTAGCCACTCAACTAAGAGACATGAATTGTGTGAAGAAGCAGTGACAGAAAAAAACATTCAATATGAAAAATACTTAGCCGAGATAAAAAAGGGTCTCTGAGGTATTTAAAATACATTAAATTTCAGCATGCTATGATCATTCAACCCTCTCAGGATCTTCCCTTTAAATAAATCATTTATTAAAGAAATCAGTAATTATTAAGATACACATATAAAACATGAGATGCTGAAGAACTTGCTGTGTAAATGGCACTTTCACAGTAATGCAGACTTCAGAAGTGATTTAGCTGAAGGTCTGAACCTGCACAGCACTCACAGGGACCTTAACACAATACTATGTTTAATCTTACAGGGGAAACCATTGCTTATGACCTTAGTTCTCATTTCACCAGGAAATGTAACATTCTGAGAGAACAAGGCCTTGCAGGAGAAACAGGTGGGCCATGGAAGAGGACTATGGAGACAGATGTCTAGAGTCTAAGTGAAAAAGTAAGGATGATTTACAAAACAGTTTCACTGACCTATTTTTTAAGTAGGATGCTTTTTTATAAAGGGCCTCGAACAACAGTTTGCACAGTAGGTGAAACAACTAGTGTTATATTTACTAAACCGACAGACAAACACTACTCAATCCTGTTCGAAATGCTTTGAAACATGAAGGTGGTTTTAAGCGCCACTAGAAGAAAATTGCGATGGTATTGCCAGAAGCACTGTACTAACCAACCACCAGCTACACTGGGAGTGCTTTAGCTAATGCAAAGCAGAAAAAGCAAATTAGATGCCTATTTAAACATCTGCAAAACATCTTCAAAAGATTTTCTGACTGGAATAGCTATAGTTGCTCTGGCAGCAACACAGAACTGTCAGAAAACAGAAAACGCCTAACTGCACCCCTCTATATCGTAAGCCTATATAGAGCATATTCATTAAAAATATTTTAGCAGATCTTTTATTTCCTTCTGTTGGCCTACCTCTACTGTTTGTTCATATGTCCAATCAAATTTCTTCTTTACTTTCTTTTCAAGAAAACTGGTTGACTCCGTCTGCTTAACTCCTGCAGCTGTGGCCTTGAATCCACAATAGTAACCTGCCGGATCACACTTGTACACCTGAGGGCCATGTTCTTCATCAATACCAATCAAAATCATACCTTGAAGAGAAAAACCATTAATTTATTTCTTCCCCTAATTTCAGCAATTTCATTCAACTGAAGAATAGAACAGATACTCCTCTACTGTATATTTTTGGGAACTAGTCCTTTACCTACAGCTGTGATTTCCTCTTTATCTCTAAATTGCCATTTCTTACCAGCATCTCATTTAGTGCAGATTACATTTCTGCCATGCCCAAAGAAGGCTAGTCACTAAACATAGAAACATTTTTGCCATGCTCAGTGTGTAGAGAACCACAAAGTCAGGAAATACAAAGATAGTTACCCTAGCCACGGTTCGCATCCTAGAAGGGTAAACAATAGTTTTATTAACATGTGCCTTTTAAGAGAAAGCAGCTTTACAAATATGTTGAAACAACATACGTTGAAAGGAAGTATTAAAAATCAACTTTAGATTTCTCAGCTGTAATCCTGAAAAGCACTACACTACATTCCTTTTCTTCTTTTAAGAAAATACACGATAAAAAGAAACCTCATACCTGAAATGAAATGTAGAATTATCAGAACGTAAAGGTTAATACTTGAAGAGCATCTGACTAAGAAGATTCGAGTTGGATAGGCTTCAAGTACAACTGGTCACATCACTGAACTACATCTGTGTTCACCCACACTTCTCGATTCACAGCTGTAGTCTCAATATGCATACTAAAAATAACTCACAAGCAATACTTGCGAAAAAAACCCAGCCCAAACAAAATAGAACAAGGTGAAGGTTTTAAATTAGTTTTGCTTCATATTTGCATAACTTATAACTAGTAGTTGTAGCTGATAAGCTACTGAACAGCTATTACTACAATAGGAAAAAAAAGTCCCCAGCATCTTTTCAAAAGTGATTCAGGGAAGTTACATTTTTATTTCTGTATTAAAAAAAAATACATCACTTTCCAGTAGTATCAGGGCATGGGAAATGCCAAAGGAAGAAAAAAACAATCATTCCTGAACATTACAAGCATAGGAAAATTGCCCCATCATGGAAATTGTGGTGCAACCCTAAATGGGACTTCTTTAGTGAGAAGCGCCTACTACGATTACGAGAAGTGATTCATTGATTCTGAAACTACTCTCCTTAAAACAAAAAAACACAACACACAACAAACCAACCAACCAAAACCAAACCCAAACAGAATGTTTAGTGAAAAAGTAACTGAGGGAACATTAAGTCTGTTATCTCGATTCCCGGACAGCCTAACAGTATGGTTATAATTTGCTCACAGTCAAATGTAGGAGAAAAAACAAGTCAGCATCAGCCTCAGAACACAGAGATGACCAGGACTATCTACCAAAAAAACCCCAAGCAGCTTTACAAGTTTTTTGTTTTTTTTTTTAATTTAAGCTGCACTTGATGTTATAAAGCAAGACTGGTGTAGAAATGTTTGTAAGTGAAATATCTTTAAGCACTTCTCTACATTATATAGATCATGGTTAAGAGCAAAAATTATGTAGATTTTGTCCCATACATACTACTGGGATAAAAAGCCCATAAAATCTGCACTCTCCGTGTGTCTAACTGATATTTACACAGACACTGGCAAAAAGAGCACCTCCCATTCCCAGACATCACTGTGCAGTGCAAACAGAGTAGGCCCCTAAAAACCGAGGTGAAATAGGGTCACTTGTTTTAAAGAGCTGAAATAGTTTGCTCCAATCCAAATACTGAGTCAATGGTAAAATCATGGCTCCAATGCAAGAGTTCCAACACCGCATTCTCGCTTGGCCGCTCGTCCCCCTTTCTCCTTCGGTCACACCCAAACCTCACGCCATTTGAAAACGAGTGAGAATTTCTTATGATTGAAGTCGCAAGCTTAGACAGGAAACAGAACAAATCAGTTTGTAAGCTACACTTACAGCAACCAAGAGGCCTCATCTCAGCGTTCTGCGTATAGACCTGAGAAATATCTGCGATCCTTTTACACAGCATATCCACAGGGATGTCATAGCCATACTTGTACTTCCAGTTAGCAGCCTCGTAGCGGGCTCTCTGCACCTGGGATCTGCTGTCAGCTAGACAGAAAGAAACAAAATTAACTTCACTGAACACCTTCCCTGTTTATTCCTCACATTGCTGGAGAACAGGAATTCCAGGCAACTTTAAGTTGTCTTTAAAAGTACACATGAAAGCTAGACAAGTTCCACAAAACCCAAATTGAACAAATCTCCTAGAGCTTTCATTTTACATGATACAAAGTTAACAAGCTACATTAAAGAAATCCGACACACTTCAGATACTTAAAAAAGATAGTGAATTAAATACCTGTCATTCCTGTCATCACACAGCCAATATTTTCAGTAATTTTGAATAAATGAGTCACTGTGTTGGAATCCAGTAATTTGTCCTAAAGAGGAAACAGAAATAATCTAATAGAAAACACTGTCCTTCAACTACTAAAAAAAACCATCCAAAAACCAAAACAACTCAGACTGGATGTTCTGGTATCTATAAGAGAGTCCAAAAGAATCAACTAACAGCCAAAAATTGTCTTTCAGGCTCTCCACTGCTTACTGCTATAGGCATGCAAAGGAAGAAACAGGACAACAGGGAAGACAAAAACATCAATATCTGGAAAAAGATCTAGAATATGACCAATAACGAAGTCCTTTTCCCTCTGAGGAAACTTTAAGAACACACAGCCAAAGACTCGTGCTCTTACTTGCACGCTGCCCTTCAAACACAAGGGTTTTCCCTTGTCAACAATACACCACCACTGCGCTGAAACACTTAAGAAAATCAGCTTTGCATGCTCATGCTGTAACATTTTCTGAGAAGGAATTAAAGAAACCAGGGAACTGATTATGGACAGCTTAGCCCTTAGAAGCCAAAGTAATGACCGCATGCTAAAGTACAGCAAGACCAATTTTGTATTTCAGCTTTATCCTCTCGACAACTACAGAGAAAACCGGTATGACAGCACTCAGTGAGGAAATGTACACTTGAGCACCAAATGGAGCTAGAACTTGTAAAAAGCAGGACAATAATAAGATATTAAATTCAAACAGCGAAATGTCAGTGCTAAGAAACATAAAATCAATGTTGCAGAGTCTCACCCCCACCTTTTTTCTCATCTCGTCTCAGTGCCCTCCTCAGAAACCCAGTACTTACAGGTACTTTCTTCTGTGTTACAATTACTGCAGAATCTTTCCCACGAACAGCTACAGATGTAAGTCCACCTTGGTTTATGGCCTTAAAAGCATATTCTAGAAAAACATGTAAATGTTATTAAGAAACTGTGTTAGAGACAGTAGAACAATTAACTCTGACACATCTCCCACCAACATGGAAATCTCACCAAGTTCTGGCTGTTCTAACACTCGCACAACACTTTGTATCTTTAATGTCTTCAGTCCAATGCACACAGGAACTTTTTCAGGGGAACTGGAAGTTGTTGACTCTCTTCACAAACCCACTACCACCACTTCCTTCAAATATTTCTAATAATTTGCCTTTCTGTTCAGTTAGAATGCTTAACAACAGAATTTATTTTAAAATGAAATGGTTGTTTTGCACTTGACCAAAACAGTCCAACCTTGACCTACAGTAACTGTAAATCCTTGCAGAAGAATTTTTAACATGCAGAAGTTTAGTACTTCAAGTATTACTACATCTTCTGACTTGACATTCAAATGCTGCAATGCTTCTATTCACTTTTTAAAATGAAACCTATGCACATGATAATTAAACAGCAGTATTCAGATAAATACAACAGATCGAGACCTACTTGATATGATCCATGAAATAAATTTCCCTTTATTAATGGTTTAAAAAGCCTCAAGAACAACAACTTCAAAAACAGTTTATCTGCAATATATGAAAAACATTCAGAACTTTCTAACATCTGGTTAGAAAAGGCAGGTTTTAGGCAGTAGCTAAATGTAGAAGAATTTTCTGTTAGCTCTGGGAATGAAATTGGCACTTAGAAGATGTCTGGCAGTGCAGCAAACTGCTAAAACTATCTTCTGAAATAACAGGAGCATGAAACTCAGCTGTTTTAAAAGCTGCATTCATATCTATGGAAGAGAACACACAACAGGGGAAGAATAACCTAAAAATGAAGAAACTAATCTTGCAATACCAAGATCTCGATGTTCATCTGCCAAGTCAGTGTTGTGGAAGGGCTGGTTGCTGTGTGTTTGTGGCAGTGTGTTTTTTTGCTCTCCGGCGTCAGAGCATTTACTGGCTACCCAAATGCGCCACAAAGAATGTTCTCCCTCTCTCCCCACTAGACAAGCAACTCTGCTCACCACTTGCCTTCCCTGGGATGATCAGTGCTAGCCTGCAGCCAAGCACAGAACCCAGCAAGACACGAGCTAGAGCTGCCCGCAAAGCAGTCATGTCTGAAGCCCCAGGCCAGGGCTGTGCAACACTTGTTTATTAACGTGTACAAGGATCTGAAGGTAGGGTGCAAAGAGGGTGGATAGAGCCAGGTTCTTCTCAGTGGTGCCCAGTGACAGGACCAGTGGCAATGGGCACAAACCACAACACAGCAGGTGCTACAGAAACATCAGGAAAAACTTTTTCACTGCGAGGGCGACCAAACACTGGCACAGGTTGCCCAGAATGCTTGTGGAGACTCCATCCTTGGAGATATTCAAGAGCTCTCTGGGCAACCTGCTCTAGGTGACCTGGATCTGGCCAGACCAGATGATCTCCAGAGGTCTTCTCCAACCTCAGCTGTTCTGTGATTCTGTGACATTTAGGTGGGAACAGGAATAGATGCCCCACTCACAAACCGGTTTTGCTCAGAATTACTGACAACCAGGTCTGCTGAACTCTAGTCCTTTCTCACACTGTTCCTATTCCCATCTGCACTGCTCAAAAGACAAATCAAAAAGTAAAGTGGCTTTTAGAGTATAACAAATCCAAATTGCTAGTGGTACTTTAAGTCTGTTTTCTGGCTATGTAAGTATTTCAGTAGCACTGCAGGCACTCTTTCTGAAAACAGTAGTATCTGGCGAACAGATGGATTTGGACATGCCGTGCAATACAAGCGCAGTGAAGCCACATCAGCTGGGGAAGAAACATTAAACTCCAGGGGAAGATGGTATCAGGATGACGCTGCAAAACAATTCATCTGGCCCTGCTGTGAGAATCCTCCAGGAGGACTCTCAATGAGCTGTCCTGCCAGACTGCAAGTTGACTAAACTGTTAAGAGTATTGTGCAGAAGGTGCAACACGAGGCTCTTTTACAGCATCTGGTCCACTGTAAAAATATAAAAGATTCAGTGGCCTACAGAAGAAGATGAAGCTAAGCTACAGCTTAACTGCAGAATGACCAACGTCTTCTGGAAATAAAGGATAAATGGTTGCCACTATCTCCCAGGCCATGATGCACAGAACACATAGTGCATGGGTTACATCCAAAACTTGAATTTGTTACTCTGGCATGCAGGGTTTGAGACAGTTTGAGTCCCATCTCAACCAGCTACTGTAGCTCTCAGGTTCCAAAAATGCAACGCTCGTAAATTTGGCAAGATAAACTGAAAGAAACACTTTAAAACACTGTCTGGAAAGCTGTCCGTTTCACCTCCAAGCAACAGAAACCAAACACCGGCAAATTACCGGAGGTCCCTCCCCGCGGCAGGGGACACTCGAGAGGGCCCACCTGGGCTCCAGGTTTCCCCGATCTCACGCAAGGATCCCCTTCCCAGGCCCCCAGGCCGGCACGGC